CTCCTATCACAAGTTCCGTTTGTTCGAAGAATAAACTCTTTGATGAAGTTTGAAATAGTAAGCCTCAGTGGGACACATAGTGAAAATTTTCATCATGCAAGAAGTCCTCTGCCAACTGGAAACTTTTTCATCAACTTACAAACAAAAGACAAGTTTCAGCTGACGTCTATCCTGATGTAAATGCCAAGTGGATCTATTGCAACTAAACAGGCTAATATGATCGAACCTGATGTTTCTAGTCACGTAAATTATCATTTCCCTGCCTTTAATGAAAAGGATTTATAAACTTGTCTCACATCCTTAAATGAATAACACAGACTAGGTCTCGATGGTGTGCCAAGGATTTTGCTTCAGAAATGTGCTGATATTTTGTGTTACCCTCTGAATCAAACCTTTAGTGCGTCATCTCACAAAGATACTTTGTTCTTCCTAATGCCTTTGGTATTACTACTAGTTTTGGTTGATGAGGAAGGATGGAGCATTAGTCTAAGATGAAACTTAGACATAATGATTCACCTTCCCGCTATAACAACCTGGGAAACGGAGGTACACCATCAGACCTCCACATAATTCAGCCTGTAATAGTATGTCGTTAAAGAAAATAAATGAACAGATATATAAAAGAAGATAAATAAAAATAAACGATGTAAAAAAGAACCCAGACAACTCAGAAGCTTGAAATCCCACCAAGACACCAGCGTTATTTCTTCTTATATTCCGTCTTACGCCATTAATCATGTACATAGTGCCCATATATTGCCCTAATTTTTTTCCTTCATTCTTTCCTTTCACAATATTTAAAAAACTATTTCATTACTATCTTCACACTTTCTTGTTCATTCACTATTATTGTACACAACCTTGCTACTTTTATATATCGAAGCTTGCTGTTTTCCCACCAACCTTCTAGGGGGGGATAACCTGTGGTGTACACTGAACTTCGAACTTTTGTTTGAACGGACTCACCTGACCTTAAGCACCACTTCCCCTTTCGATTCGTGAATCTCTTGTACGGTTTCGCTCTCTCGTTGTGCTTTCATCCGACACACTCTCCGAGCTTACCACCGTCTCGACTGCAGATAAGTCATAACCTCTTATTTTTATCAAATCTCATATCGCTTTTGTGTAAACATAACTCTGTTCCAGTCACGCTAGTCATCTCAAGTCTTTTTACCTTGATTCAGTTCGTTAGTATTTGCACATTAGGCAGAGTACAACTAAAGTCATAAAGCGGTGAAGAAGTTTTTGTAAGAGTGATTAATTTAGGTCTAAGTTAAACCAAGTCTACCTCTTACACACTTCACTCCTTGCAAGCAGCTGGCTAAAGTTATCTTGTCTGATACTGAACATCTTCTTTATTCTCAACTTTCGCCTTGTGAGTCTTTAGTTAAAACCAGCAGCAACTCTGTAAGAATTTACGCTCGTACAACTGAATATAAAAATTTTACGATACTTTATTTAGCACTGGTTTTGTGCGTTGAGTCAGGTTTCAGAAAATAACTTGTGAACCTTTTAAATCATAAAATGAACTGCAAAGTATAAGCAAGGATCAACATTGTATGTATAATCCATTATACTGTGGTGAGAGATGGTTGCTAGCCAAATTGGTTGACAGTAATTGAGGTCAATGTTAATCATGTGAAAACAAGGTCAAGATGGACAGGCGGATACAGTTAACATATAGATGAAGTGACACAGCCACAAGAGATGCAAGGTTAACTTTGTGTGAGAAACAACCAATCAACAGACTGTATTTTCTACTAACATTAACCTACAATAATGTACATCAAAATCTATAAATATGTGTTGATTTTCTGTAATAAACGATCTGTTGCCTGGCCCTTGTTTTCTGTTGTTACAATACTATCTACTACTAATTCACCACTTTTCCACCAACATACTGTTTATATTGGTTTCTTCATTAATATTATTACAAAAATTTCTAATTATATGTATGCAAATATATATGATAGGAGCTAATATGTTGAAAAATACATAGAAACGCTGAAAATCCTATTCTACATAATTATTATTGTTGTTTGCAATAAAGTGATCATTATTGTTTGTCATATGGGCAGCTTGTTTTCGGAACTGTTTGCCACCGCAGGATGCAGTCTTTAGACTACTGTTGCCAGTACGCCGAACGTGTATTCCTATGTTTGCAACATAAGAGTGGTTTCGGAAGACACAGTTGACGGATATGCTTGACTAAAAGAACATGAAATAACCAAGATAAACTCACAATATGTTTTCGGCCTTTATCATCACTTCGGCAGCACATCTTTATGGGGTCAAATAAGTGCGTCCATTCAACTGGATCTCAGCTACCTCAGCTTCAGAGGCCAATGTGGTTACTTGTACTGACTGCATGAGATTTTAGACAAGTGTGGCTTTGTCTAATGGTGTGATTGTGGATCTCTACATACTCTCCATAACATCGTTAATAATAACATCCCTAAGCAGCCTAACCTGGTGTCCAGGATGCTACTGGCAGCAGATAGTGAGGTTGATGTTCCTGCCAAGCAAGAAATATGACGACACAGAAATCGTGAGCGTGTTTCTACTTGGTAGCAATGGGAAAGCGAGCTCGTCGTCGTTCACTCAGCGTAAATAACTGGTTCTCTGGAAACCAGGGCACCATATATCCCTCACCAACTGCAACCCACCTTTCCTTAGTTAATGTGGTGAACTTATATCCATAATGTTGCTGAGCAGTTAATATTCTCAACTCCTGTCGGAACAGCTGAAATTCATAAACCTTCCTCACGCTAAGAAAATACCCACAAGCAGTAGAAATCCATTAATTAATGCATCTGAAGCTCATATATTTACTCCCAACAATGACATTGCAGATCAAATGAGATAAACATATCACTGATTTCAAAATAACACATCAATGAACTATAATTCGAGGACTCTGCACACAACAAAGTTATGTATGAATATTGACTTCAAGCTTTATTTTTTTTCCCAGGCACTTATAATCCATCCACCAAAGACCTGGTTTTTTTGTTAATGCGAAGACAATACTTCTGTATTTCCTGATGTGTTGCACCCACTGACAATCTAGCAGATTTTTCCAACTGTGCACAGAAATGATTGTATATAAGTGGAAAGGCTGTTTTATACTGCTGGGATTAACATTTATCAAGTGTATGTATTATCTCCAGCGGACATGTAAAGCATATCTTGTTGCAGCGTGTAAATTTTGATTGAATTATATGGTTCTATTTCTGTAACAATTTGATGATGCCTGTAAACTGGCGTCCCTCATGTACTGTACTATGAGAATAAATTTATTTATGAATGTGCTATAGGCAACTCAGTTGAAGCAACACAAATCAAGGTCAGGTTATCATTTCAAAGATAATCAATTTTTATACCTTCATTGGATTGGAGTTAGTGTAGTGAGCCTATTTGTATAAAGCTATAAGACATTTAGCAATTTTCATTTAATTCTGACTGGAGACTGAAAAGTGTTTATATATTTCAGAATTTGTTGTCAAAGTATGAGTGACGCATCTGGTTACATTGTTGGGATGACTGGGTTATTTGTAGGGAGAGGTTCGGTTTCTCGTCCATCTGGCCGCATTTTTCGGGAGTCTTACCCAAAAATATGCTGTTCACTGGTTGACCATAATTACAACCATGAAACGGAATGAAGTTTGGGTTGGCGCTGAACCTTGATGGCAATCATAGTAAAGGGTTTACAATTTAACATTATTAAGAACCTGTTCTGATTGCTTGTACCATAATCGAACAATTTAAACTTTTGAAAAAGTATTAATTTATGATATTTCAGGATTGTAATTTATAACGTAACTGATCGTGCCTGTTAAAATGGCATGCATTTCTTGTAAACAGCACTTTATACGTAATTTAAATTATTATTTCTTCGGGTAGATGGAGATGGATATAAATAGAACACCGAATGTGTCCGCGTCCTTACGGCAGGTGTCCGTAAAGGCCCAAACATAAGCTTCACTTCTGTCGGCCGTTTGCACCTCATAGTCGACGCTGTAGCCATTAGCGAATACGGTGTTATAACAGACTTCGTTGATTTGGAGCTTAATGGTTCGTTAATATTAATCCATGTTTGTGAAGATATCGCTGAATAGGAATGGGAAAAAGTTAGTCGCCTGGTAGAAGAAAACAGAAGGACAATTTTAGAAGCGGGGAATGAGTTTTCAAGTTTACCTCGAACTTTATTTTGTTAGTCCCTATAGTAGTCATGTCGCAGACCCACTGGTGTTATTTATTCAGTCGAATGAGATCGGTACTGCTGAAAAGTACCTAATGAGGCGGTGTTTCGAGACAGTGACACCCCTTACACAGAGAATCTAAGCTGGATAAATTGGTGAAGGAGGGCCAGATTTACGAGGATCAGTGTCATCAAACGGATATTTGTTGAATAAGAGTATTCCCATCAGAGGGAAAAACGCACTTAATTATTCACAAAACCTGCGTAGTAACTAGAAACCTCAGTAATAAAACCGATGTAAGCCTTCAGAAAACATGTTTTTTAAAAGATTACTGTAAGTCAATGTACTTACTATTCATCTTAGGGAAAGTCAAAAATTGGAACATTAAATCTTCTATACTTCAAACACTACTTGTAATGGAATGGAATAATCATGGCACCAGAAAAGAATTTTTTCAACTGGAAAAGAAATATTTCGTACGGGATATACGCAGTACAAATTAATTGTTATTGTACAGTATCAAGTTTGAGGTTTGTTTACAGCGGCAGTTTCGAGGTTGAACACTACCGTTCGGTCTGTTAGGTATTTGGTTTTATCTAGTCCTTGGGCAATATATACGTCTTATTTTACGACCACATTTATGTTGTGTTCTCAACGTTTTCAAAAATGCATATTAGATAAGTTGGAAAAGTGCATAAAATTACATCATTTCAAATATTATATCTATGAAATATCTGCCTAAATTAACAGTTTTGGGTGTAAATTTGGATCTTTATGCAAAATTTTCCATATGCCTTTATGCCTCGTAAATTTTGTATCAATAAAAAGTCGCGAAATTGCCTAAAACGTCTAAAATCGGTTAGTGCACTATCCCAAATCGACTACATGTACAAGGCTTCACAAATTGTGATGTTTGAAGTATTTGCTGTAGGTCAATGTTGTAGCTGTAACTTTGTCATATAATTGTTTTAGGTGTTAATTAATTCGTTTATGAATGCCCCGCTTGTGCAATTATCTTACCTTTGCCTCACATCCTACTTGTCGAAGTTTCATTGTGGCCTAATTCTAAGGGAAATTCAAGTAGTTTTCAGACCTCCGGAGATATTAATGCTATGAAATAATTCAGTTCGTTGCGGCAGCCCGACTTTAAAATAATTGGGGGTACTTTTTGAGCTACCTAATGCAAAATGTTTAGAGGAAATTTCGGCGAAATGCAACATTTGGTGAGTGCCAGCTAGTACGAATTCTAGTTCAAGCACTTTTCCCTGCTGACTGCGTTCATCTTATATATATATATATATAAACACTTTTCAGTCTCCAGTCAGAATTAAATGAAAATTGCTAAATGTCTTATAGCTTTATGCAAATAGGCTCACTACACTAACTCCAATCCAATGAAGGTATAAAAATTGATTATCTTTGAAATGATAACCTGACCTTGATTTGTGTTGCTTCAACTGAGTTGCCTATAGCACATTCATATACTACCCATTTGCTCAGGTTGAAGTAGGTGGGGCTGAACGCAAACCCAGACCCTCACCTTTAGTAAAATCGAGTGCTGATGAGCCACGTTTCTGTAGTAGTAATGTGGTAAGAAGCATATGTGGAAAAATTAGACACTTTACGTATTATTTGACTATTTAATAAAACTTTAAGTAGAAATCGAGTAATAAGTTAAGTGAGCGTTAAGAATTTTTTAAGGGCTTTTTCATTCTTTATGTTCTGATTGCAATAATGGGCTTCACGCTATGGAATCTCATCAGTGGTGTTGTTGATGCTACCTTTCTCAACACCCAATCCTTCCTGTTTTCTGAGTGGGCTTTTGGTTACTTAAACGAAGTAAGGTACAGGAGTGCGTTGGTTGGGAATCGAACCCTGGACTACATGAGTACCGTTAAATCACCAACGTAATTGTTTCTGATTGACTTGTTTCAACATAGAAGTCTGCACAGATGTGCGCCAGTTCGAGTTACCACACCATTTGTCACACAAGGCAACAGAAGAGATCAAAGAGAGGTTCAAAAGAGAGATAATAAACAGAAGTGTGAGTTGGTCAAAAAGAACAATAATTTTGGAATACAGTAGATGTGTAAGACTTAAGCACTGGTAGAATGTAATTTCATATTCATTTGTTTATTAAATATATCACACAGTGAAACAGTTTGATTCACTAGATGACTTCTCAAACACAGTTTATTGTGTTAATTATACCACCTTACATGAGGGTTGAGAACACAGACACCTACGATTAAAGACAGCTAGTTTTTCACGTCTTCCACTTTCAATGGCTGCCATGTCTCACTGACTGCCATAAAGGAGGGCAGAGGAAAATGTTGAGCAGTACACAAGTCCTTTAATCGATAGCCAGCCGGGTATAACTAGGAACAGGTAATTATCGGGATAGAACTGTAGGAGACGGTCACTGTCGTTGGTTCGTCAGTAGGGAACTCCATAGCTGTCACCAATATACTTTTTAGTCTTTCATACTATGCAGTGTTTGTGTAGCTTCTATGGAATATTTAGTGCGATGAGTAGTTTTACTTATATTTGATTGTATATAGCTCTCTTTAATCCTCAACTTTTCTTATATTTTTATATTTTTTGTTTCATTTCTAGATAGATAGATACCATTCAACGATAGTATATGGAATGTTGCATGAATTATTACTTGCATTATACGGTATATCTGGTGGCATTTTCATTGAATCTACAGAGAAAGGTGGTGATAATGATGACACAGAATTGGATAGACATTTAATACCTCTGGTGAATGATAATCTTCTCCTTCCTGAAAGTGAACTTAGTCTACAAAGAGAACTATTAAAACTAGGCTCATGTTATAATTATTTAATCAAGTTTATTGAAAAATTTTCAGAGCCTAATTATGGCTTGTATTTATCAGCTTTCGCCTTTGGAATTGATGATTCACTTAAAGAATACCGAGCAGATTTATGTACACTGGAGACTGAACTATCGACAGATAAATCTATGGGTGTTTCACACTTATCTTGTCGCCTACATGCTTACAAGATTTTGCTACCTGTACTTGTAAAAGTCACAAAAAAAGTTGAAAGTGTTGTTATTAATCCTGAAATGATGAAGCATACTAATTCATCAAGTTGTCGACTTCTAGATGTTATATTATCTGCAACACCTCCTGGTCTTCCTGGTCCACGATATGTTATGCGTAAGGTGGTATCGCGTGTTATGCAAGTATTCTGTCGACAACTGTCTTCATGGCTTATCTACGGTGTTCTTTATGATCCTTATTCAGAGTTCTTCATCAAAAAACTTGAGTCTAATCATATTTCAGATGAGAAGAAGAAACAACAACCATTGTTTGTGATAGATAATCACTGCATTCCTTCATTTTTGCCTACATCATTTGCTCAAAGAGTATTTGAAACTGGCCAGGCTGTTTATTCTGCTAGTCTTAATCCTTCAGAGGCGTCATTTATCTTGGAGTTGGAAAAAGTGTATATTCCACGGTTTACAGAAATATCAACCTGTTTAGGTGAAGATGTCAACGGGATCCAGTCAACTGAAAACAGTTTGAGTAACTTGATAAATGTCAATGAAATTGACAGTCTTGTATGTGATATCAAAAGTGTTGTTTTACATCATGTTTGGTGTAGTGTAATACAACAGCATAAATTTATTGATTATCTTCGCCTGTTTAAAGATGTACTACTCTTGGGACGTGGTGAACTGTTTCTTGCATTTCTTGATCAGCTGAATTTTAAGAGTAATAGTTTTAACAATAATAATTACAATAATAATAATAGTAGTAGCTGTAGCAGTAGTCCACGAAGTTCAATCCACTGGGGAGAGTTTGGAGATAATCTGCTAGATCAGACACCGCCAACAAATGAAAATGAAGTGGAAGCTCTTGAATATGATATTACTCAGGCGTTTCTTGCAGCAGCAGCACGTTGTCTAGGCTTAGACGATGAAGAATTAGACGATCAATTTAGGTAGGTGTGTTGTGTGGGTTTTAATAAAAATCCACTAGTATTAATTGATTGTTTATCATCCTATTTATTTATTTATTTTTTTAACATTCATGTTACGAACTCACCTTTAGAGAATGATTTGGATTGTAGAATGTATTATTTTGTCAATCTATGTGAATCTATTTCATGCGTATACGCATACCCTACCCGTTTTTGATATAAAACTTGGGCACTGTGGTAGAGCATAACTCCATTATGGATAAGATTTTTGTTTTGATAAATCACACAGTGTTGTACAGTAATATTAACTGATGACAACGTTTCAAGCACAAATTATTGCCACTCATAATCATATCAAGGTACTCCTCACACAGCTTTTTTCCTTCATTTATATACATGAGTGAAACTGATTATTAGACATTTGAATAAAAATCAATATGGGATAATGTACATTCAGAAATAATAATATGAGTGTTATTGATCAATTACAATCAGATGGGAAATAAGACGAGTGTTTTTTATATTCATAATAAGTTACTTGTTAGAATGTTGTGATGTGTTTGAATTGAAATAGAATTTTAAGATTATTTATTATCCTCTTCTGATTTGACTGACTGGTGGTAATAATATCTTCCATATTTCTGGTATTTGCGTTGAGTCACTTCTATTGCATGTGTTGGGTGTAGATTCACTCGATGAACCAGGATTCAGTAATCAATCTCTCTCGCTCTCCACCTACCTATATTACTTTTTAGAATTTTAACCCTCTCCCACCCTATTGTGTGGTTGTGTGTTAATGCGTGAAGTGCAATTGCTGAGCTTTTTTCTAAATTACTTATCTTTTCGGGGTCAACCATTCTTACCTTAGCTAAATTCTTATGTTCCGACAATCTGATTACCCCCCGACCTACTAGTTTGACCTATGTAGTTGACTTAACTCACAGTCATTGCAGGGTATTTTGTAAATTATATTATTTTGTCTAATTGGGTCCACTTACACGGTCCTTTAACCTACAGAGCTTGTCAGTGAGTCAGTTTGTAGGTCTGAATACCACCCTAATTCCTGATTTATTAAGAATCCTACGTAGGGTCTCAGATGTCCACACATGTATATAAATGAAGGAAAAAAGTTGTGTGAGTAGTGCCTTGATATGATTATGAGTGGCAATAGTTTGTGCTCGAAACGTGGTCATCAGTTAATATTACTGTACAACACTGTGTGATTTATCAAAATAAAAACCTACCTATTTTTGATATCCTGCTGTCGGTCGAGGGAAGTGTGTGCTGCGAAACAGTTCGCTTTGTTGGCTGGCTGGTTGGCTGGATTCAACATAGAACATGGCACCGAAGTGCAGCAGTTCGAGTTGCCACGTTCCTTGACGTGGTGGTCGGGCTTGAACACCGCAATGACCCAACAAGCTATACTGGCTGGAACTTATGTTCCTGTAGGTCCTACCATGCCAGAAAGGTTGTTTGGATAGTGGTTAGACTAAAAGCAGTTACCCAATCCAATGCTATGACTCCAAATAAATCACAAAATATCATGCCGGATCGGTGGGGGCCCGGATTAACAACGACCGCGCTTCCTGCTGCCGTGTCACAGGGCAGAAGTGATAAGTGTGCTACTGAGACACATCAAACGAAAAACAACAGTTCGCTTTGTCCTTCCTTATGGCTATGAGTCATGGCCATTGGAAGTGGAAGACATGAAAAGACTAGCGGTCTTTGATCACAGATGTTTGCGTTTTTATCTGCTATAGTTTGTAGTATAATATGGCAGGTAATATTGAGGTTATGCGTAGAGGGTTAGTTAGAGTGGGTAAACCAATCGATGAAATATTGATTTTACGGATGCCAAGTTACCGCCTCCGTTGACAAGCATTGTTAGCTGACATTAGATTAGGTTGGCAAAGTGTTTAGGGGTGGTTAAGCCAAAATCTAACATTAGTCCATGTGAAGTCTCTGAAAGTTTGTGTGTGTGTGACAGCCACGTAGAAAGGTGTAGATTGCTTTTAGGAGACTATCGACGGTGGTTTTTTGGCTTCCATCGTTATCAGTGCACACAGAGTGAAGAGGAAGTGAAGAGCCATCAAGTAGAGGAGTTGCATTAGTAGAAGGAAGGCATGATAATAGAGATGAAGATGGAGACAAAGATGAGTGAGGATTAGAGAGGTTTCGCGTGCACTTCGGATTGTGAGGGCGATTGTTATTTCCTGGCTGCCCACACCATGGAAGTTAGTTGCGTGACCGCAGAGCCCAGGGGACAACTGCTTGAGGCCGGTCACACACGGCCTGTTTTTGTTTGTTCTTTTTTATTTGGTGTGTCTCAGTAGCATATTTATCACTTCTGCCCTGTAACGATACGGCAGCAGAAAGAGCAGTCGTTGTTAATCCGGGCCCCGACCGATCCGGCATGATATTTTGTGATTTTGTTTCAGTCATGGCATTGGATTGGGTAGCTGCTTTTTGTCTAACCGCTATCCAAACAACCTTTCTGGCATGGCAGGACCTGCAGGAACATAGTTCCAGCCAGTGTAGCTCGTTGGGTCATTGCGATATGCAAGCTTGACCACCACGTCAAGGTAACAGCTTTCGGTCGGGTAGATTGCTTGGTGGTTTTGGAGTCTTCGGGATATTAAGAATCAATGGGTTTTCAATGATGCAGTTGCATTCAAACTCTTTGTAATCCTCCTTATATTTTTAACTCATGTTTTTCATCATTTGATTGACTGGTTCGACGTGAAAGTCCAAATCGAATTGAATAATTACTGATACGCGTTGCACAATAAGCGGCTCTCGTTGCCCATGTGGTCTAGCGGATAACGCTTTGAAACCATCACTCACTCACTGAAAAATATAGGTACATCCTAATAACGAGTTCCAAATAAGACGACATGCGTATCTTTGATTTTTGACATGGGATTTGCTCTCTTCCATCAAATGTAAGATGATGCTACAGAACTGAACTAAATTGACTCATTCCTAGCTTAAAGGTGGGGAGTGAAGTGGTGGAGCGTGTTGACCACTTCACTTATTAGCGGAGCTGCATCAGCCAACGCCGGTCGGTCGGTCGGTTTTTGACATAGAACTTTGCACATATGTGCGGCAGTTCAAGTCGCCACAATCTATGTAGCACGCAAAGCAAGAGAAGGAAGTAGAAGAAATGCATAATATAGACAGTAAACAGAGGTGTGAGACAAAGGAATAGTAATAACGGAGAACAAAACAGTTTCATTGGAAATCATAAGTCACATCTTCTTCTTCATCTCTATTATCTTGCCTTCCTTCTACCAATGCAACTCCTCTGTTGGCTCTTCACAGCCAACGCCAGAGGGTTGATGGCTGACGAGGGTGGTAACTCTAACTGGTGCGCATCTATGCAAAGTTCTATGTTGAAACCAGTCATATAAGTATAAAACTTGAGCACTGTGGTGGTAGAGTGTAACTCCATTATGGATAAGATTGTATTTTGATAAGTCACACAGTGTTACACAGTAATATTAACTGATAACGTTTTGAGCACAAATTATTGCCACTCATAATCATATCAAGTTACTCACACAACTTTTTCCTTCATTTATATATATGTATGGAATTGACTAAAAAAGATATCTAGTCAATTCCATACATATATATATAAATGAAGGAAAAAGTTGTGTGAGTAACTTGATATGATTATTAGTGGCAATAGTTTGTGCTCGAAACGTCATCAGTTAATATTACTGTGTAACACTGTATGACTTATCAAAATACAATCTTATCCATAATGGAGTTGAAACCAGTCAGTCAGTTAGTTTAATTGTGAAGCTTTTGTTGTCCTCTTAGTAGATAACATCACCTTCATCGCTGACTTCAATATGAAGTGAACTAATTTGAATTCTCCATTATTGTTATTATTATTTCCTTTAATTCCTAGAGAAACATAGGGCTTCAACCGCGCGTCTCCATTGCGTTCGATTCTCTTCTAGAGTTTTCACCTGGCTCGAAGTCTGCCCACATGTTTTCATCTCCTCTTCCCATGACCTCTTCCAAGTCATCCTTGGACGACCAACTCGCCGCTTCCCGTTCGGGCTCCACTCGAACAATCGCTTGTCTAGTGATGTCACTTGATGGTTTCCTCAGAGTGTGGACAGTCCATCTCCATTTCTTCCCGCCTATTTGTTGCACAATCGGTTTCTGGTTGGTTCGCTCATTGCCAGAGATCCCTGTTGCTGATCCTTTCTGGCCATTGATCTTGAGTATTGAGCGGAGACAACTGTTAATGAAGGTCTGTAGTTTGTTTGAGATGCTCTTTATGACGCGCCAAGTCTCTGATCCGTATAGTGAGTAGCACTGACTTCACATTGGAGTTGAAAATCCGGATCTTATTCGCATTTTCATGCTGAGTGCTGTTGACCTCCACACAGACTTGAGAGTAGTGAAAGCTTGTCTTGCTCTTCCGATTCTTGCTTTGATATCCTCGTCAGTTCCGTCGGCCTGTAGTTGAAACGATGCTTCCCAGGTAGGTAAAGGAGGCTACTTCTTTCAGATTTCTCCCATGTATGCTGATTGTTGTCTGCTGTTGTTATTCTTGTTCTAATTATTATTACTATTGTTACCGTTGTATGCATATATTGATTTTTTCTTCAAACCTGAACTCTCTGGGTAAGTATGTTCAGATTGTTTCTGTACATAAACTCGATCATATCTTTAGGTTATAAGCAGCTGGTGAGAAGCTAACGAAATAATTGAGAGTACTATTTCGTCAAGGGGAATAAATTTATAAAGTTCCACATTAGTCTGTTAGATGATATGTTTTTTAAGAATGTCTTTATTCAAGACATATCTATATTGAATTAGTTGTGTTTTCTGAGCTGGTAATGAATGATTTAATTGTATCTATCTCCTGGAGACCACTGGCGTAACTGGTTGTTAATTTACACCTCTATCAATCATATTTTTATTATAGCGAAAATATTCATTCAGACATCTGTAAAAAATGAAATAATTGAGTAAAGAATATCCCTTTTGATTATTTCCTCTTCTGGCTCTACAATTGTGCATATGTTTATATGAATAGAATATTCTAGATTAGTAGTCAATAACAATATTAGTGTTTTTTAAGTAATGTCGATTTGTACATTAAGATCACAATGGAATTACAGTTCATTAAATATGCTTAAATTATAACAATAATAATGAAGATATAATAGCAAATACAATATCAATTAAAATTAGGAAAATTCCACAAAAATTCAGGATCATTCGGACGTAGATGGCCAGCGAGGTAAGGACAATGTCTGAACCAGCTTCTTTTGGACACATAAATTAGGCTTCTTAATGTGGATCCCAACAGCCTGTCTCAGCAATATTTAGTAAACGAACTCCTAAGGCGAAGTTAAGATTTGTTGGTATGCGGTAAATGACTTTTAAAGCCTCGTTGACATCAATCTTGCGTTGTGTATCCACAAGATGTGATAGAATAGCGCTATGGATGGATTTTGTTTGTCCTTTACTTAACTAGCCACGCAGGGTGATGTTCGGAAATCTGATGAGAAACACGCCTAATTGTGTGGTCTATGTAAGTGGCTCACTCCACAGGAGCAGTTAAACTGGTAGATACACATGGAAGGGGCGAAATTAGGCAGTTTATCTTTTACTCCCAAACACAGAATAGGGGTGTTTTTGAAGACACATCGTAATTCAGCAGCAGGGAATGCTGTTTTTACATCATTTCTAAGACGTTGTGTTATTATCTAACTAATTGAAAACCATCCACCTACAAGCTACAAATGGTCTTTTTATTTTTTTTAATTTTATTTTAAATTTATTTAGAATTTTTATAAAATTGAAAACCACATCTCAACAAGATCCCGCAACAACAACCACAACAACAGCGAACCCTACAACTGATCTAACAGTTTTAGACTGCTTATACTTACACATTAATATTCCATCAGCCCTCGATTGTCTATTCTCTACACAAATATGTCATGCTTACAATAGGCTGTTTCACTTTCTCTTCTCTATACGTCGAACACAATTAAAACTACAACAGTATTGGGCTGATCAAATTCTTCTATGGCGTCGTGCTAGATCTTCAGCGTATTATAAGACGAAGAAGGGGCCAGGGAGGAATGCTGATGATGATAATAATATAACAATGTCAAATAGTAATTTTGTTCATTTACAATTGAGAATAGGTCGGCGTTTATTAGTTCGTAATCATATGGCATTTATTATTGAAAATTTATTATACTACTTACAAGTAAGTAAATGTTTTGTTGTTTTGGTTTTTTACTCCCTGATTTTTTAAATGCTGTTTGTTGTCATTTGAATGTACTTGTAAATGATTAACATTAGGTGTGTTTTAATTCCAATTGATATGAAGTGTTTCTGATGATATTAGACGTTCTTTTTGATTTCTGAAATGCTTTTTCTGGATGATGATTTCAATATTGTCAAAATCAGTTTTGTGGCCTGATTCTATAGCGTGTAGACAAGCTATGGCTGGCTGATGATTTTTCAAGCTTTTCTAGTTCAACTGGATTTCTCGGTGGTCGGACAGATGCAGCTCTACGGTGTTCATTTATTCTGATCACCTTGATTTCTCTCTGGTGATGTTTGTCCAATGTATATCGCATCACATTCCAAGCATTTTATTTTATAGAGAATCTTTGGAGATTTGGTCTTTTATATGGACAAGGTTGCTTTGCAGTGTGCGTGTCTGATGTTTTGAAGAAAACTCTGACGTTGTGCTTATTGAGAGTACTCTTCTGATATCGTCTGACGTCTTTAAATACCGTAGAGCATCTGTTCGACCACCGAGAAATCCAGTTGAACCATAGTAAAGCTTGAAAAATCATCAACCATAAGTGGTCGAGTACACACTATAGAATAAGGTCACAGAATTGATTTTGACAATATTGAAATCACCATCCAGAAAAATTTCAGAAATCACAATGAACGTCTAACATCACCAAAAGCACTTCATATCAAGTGGAATCAAAATTGTCTGAATTGAATAAGAATGATGGATTAAAACAGAATCTGACCTGGTTAAAACACCTCCATCCTCCATGAAATGACAAAGTCAACATAAATGTGATAAGCAATTTCATTTTGTAAACATACACTGCTTTTACAAGTTTGCACACTTATCAAATCCAACAATCTACACCTGGTTTTGTTATATTTACCAATTGGACAACTTGATAACGCGAAAGTGACCCCATGCTGAGTGAAGGTGATTAAGTTGTTATATATGAGCAGAGATTTTGTAAATTCTGGTTTAATAATAACACTTTGATAAAGCTATTAGCAGCAGTCACGTAGGAAGGTGTAGACTTCCTGTTTGGGGTCCCCGGGACGCTAAAAACATGTGGTTGGAAACAATTGGTGATATGGCTCAAAATCGTTCTCAGTGATGGTGCACATGCATCCACTCCTTGTGACTTATTATTTCCAATGAAACCATATTGTTCTTCGTTATTACTATACCTTTGTCTCACCTCTGTTTACTGTCTATATTATGCATTTCTTCTCTTGCTTTGTGTGCTGAGTGAAGTGTGGCGACTTGAACTGCCGCATATATG